ATGACTTACTTTTTGCTATAATTGTATAAGTCTATCACGTGAATATTAAACGATATGAATTGAATGTTTGGTAAAAATGTTTAAAGGAGAAAGTATAATTATTTTCGAACTCTTCCACTCACTGAACTATAAACTCGTATATTTTTCCGTAATTTTCTTACAGGTAGCAATTGATTCTTTTAATTGGAAGAGCCTAATGATTTCGGAATGAGAGCCACACGACATGTTGAGTGTTATAAACTCATATTGATGAGGCATAAAGTAAATAATTTGGGACTATCTCATTATATTTTACATAGCATTTGATTTTGACGCATATTTTATAGTAAGTCATAGTCAGTCTTGGTGGTGGATCTGACATCTATTCAGTATCTATCATCGGCGCACGTCACGTTCCTAGTCTATTAGGGTGATTCGGTACAGGGCGTGTCACACATGGTCACAGATAACTAAATAGTTGGTCACGCTCGTCAAATAGTGGTCACAGACCACCGCCGTCGCCACCACCACTATCGTACCGTCATTGACGTCACGGGCACTTACAACCACCCTCACCCCGTTATCGATGCCAACACCAACACCAACAAAAACAAAAATCAAGGCAACCACAACCAACAACCACCACATCCGTCACCAGAATCCACCACGACTGCCACCAACATACACACCAGCAAATACCTAATTTGATAGAAAACCACCACGACCGCTACCACCAAAAACACCAACAACACATAACCAATGTCTCCATCGCCAACACGACCACCGTCGTAAACCACACAATATCACCACACCACCATCCAAACATTATCACTGACACCAGCATCCAGATCTAAACACACCACGTCACACCGCTACAGCCACCACCAAAAGATCAATATTCACACTATTTAGACACCGACATATCAATATTCACACGACGGCATTCTAGAAGTCGTCGCTCGAGAAGCCGGCATGGACCACCACCTGATCCAATAAGTCACTGCCATCGCCACCACCTCAAATTCCCACAAAGAAAAATATCCTAAATTCATCTTCGAGCAACGCCGAAAATACAGTGTAGTCACCAACAAAAACCAATCCAATTGTCAGATCCACCACCTCTGCCGCCGCCACCTCAAATTTCCACAAAAAATCTCCAAAATCAGTCGTCAAGCAACGCCGATCTCAAAGCGCCGACAGTAGTGGCGATGTTGTCACCGGATGGTCGTGGTTAGCACCACAGCCGGATGGTTGTTTTGATGCCACTTTCTATTTCATAACCTATATAGGCACTAATGCCTGGTAATAAAGATGGAGAGAGGAGGGTGAATTGAAATAGTTAGGGTTGGAATTGGGTGAGATATTTAATTATCATATTCATCCCAGATTTGTGAATAACAAAACCTCATACCAGATTTTTGTACAGTAAAGTTAAAACACCGGGGACGCTGCAATTTCCTCTTGGTTGACTACCCGTCTAAGCCCAATGATCATTTCGCGTAATTTTTTGGGATAAAAATCACATCTAACCAAGAAAAACAAAACAATTCATGAAATACTACACCCTAATTTATATACTATAAATACTAGGTTTTATAACAAATTAAATCAAAATTACTAATACTTGAAATTTCTCTGATTTTTTTTGTAACTGAAACATGGCAATAGCCATGAATATGCATATTAATAAATGAATCCCTTAATTAATAGTTTGATTGGAAAAATCATGAAAATTCAGATTTGCTAAAAATGAAAATTTGCAATGGTTTGATTGGCTACAATATCACGGACTTCTTAAGATCCTTTCGTAATTCTCGAGATAAAAATACATCATATGATTTTTTTTTATAAACTATGAAAATACTCATTTTATATAGTCATCTTCCCATGTGATTTCATATTGAAATTGATTAGTAATTTTGGTTTTTATTTTTGAAATTTTGAAATGTATCATACTTTATGAAAATCAATAAGCAAGTTTTCCACTGATTTCTATTGAGAATGCCACCAGACGTCTTCCATTATCATAAAGATCATTGTAGGTTATTTGATTCATTATTCAGTATTCATCTATTATTAACAAGTATGGGACTATAAGATCCTACTACAATTTTGTAACATAAAATCCCTAATCTCCCCAAAATACAGTGGGTAGAATGGATTTTAAACAAAGAATATGATTAAAGAAAGCTTAAGATATGAAGAAGACTAATCTGTCGGACGGAGCGAGGATCTTTGGGGTTCCAATCTCGTGAATACGTTTTTGTGTGAAGATGAGACGATAATTTGTAATTTTTTTGAGGAAGAATTTAAGTGTTAATAATTTGACTTTTTTTTTTGTAGAGTAATAATAGCTATTAAAATTGATAATATTAGGAGTAAAGATATTTTTGATAAATCATTTTTACTTTTATATGGTAGTATTTATGGGCTTAAAAATGTTGAATGGTAATTTATGAACTAATTTTTTTAGTGGCCCAACTATTAACAAATACAGTGTACTGACAAATGGTCCATTAGTTCTGTAGGCCTTTTTGTTCCTTGAGCCTGTCCTCCAGATCCAGAGAGAGAGAGAGAGAGAGGGAGATGCCTATATTAAGAAAAATAGTAACTTTGAATTAATAACTTTTAATTGCTCTATTCCATATTGTGATAATGAGCATCAAAAGGCCATCCATGGAGTACAATTTCTTACCTTCTGTTACGCTTAATTCGCCTTGGAAATAATTATCCAAAAGATGCTTAACGTAGGACATTGTCATTATTTCGCTTATAAGTTATAGCTCATAGTAGTAATTAAATTCGTCCAATTATAAGCTCGAAATGCACCTCTCAAGTACGGTCTCTTCTGACCTACTCTATTTCAAACATGATTCTACATTAATGTTTAATAATAAAATTCTTAACACTTTATGATTGACTCGAAATTTTTACTATTGACATGCATTCATTAGACATACTTCTTTTATTACATTGTTTCAAAACTTTAGTTTTAATTAAAAATTATGATAAAATATCTAGCTCCGACCTACCCTTTCCCAACGACAATGTGGATATTAATATAATAGCATTGGTAAATCTAATGCCAAAATTTAGATTACGAACATGTTGATTACTCGTGTTAATTTTAAGGTTAGATGAAGTAAATGTCTAATGGTTAAATGAATTTGTTATACTCTCATCATAAATACCCTCAAAAAATATGTAGTTAAAAGTTAGAAAACATTTATGATTTTACGTACAAAATTATTTTATTATGCACGTAATCTTATAATTGTCGGTTGTCACTGTGTGTAACCATCATGAATTCTTTCAATTGTTTGTGATCAGCATGTTAACATGCAATTGGATATTTGTCAGTTGTCACTATACATGACCACTATAAATTGTCTAAATTTACATATATTATGTCGTTACCTTTAATTCAAATCACACACACATAATTGTAAGCGTAGTATTATCATTTCTAGGTGGGCATGACCTACATGTTTGATCTTGACTTCCTACCTTTCGTGGGTCTACCCTATTAAATAAGGTGAAGTGATACATGTACATATTTGTCTACATAATAGTGTTCATAATTACACGTGGTACTGAATCCAACATTAAATTCAAATCTCACACTTGCACATCAACAATCGGATGATTGCCACATCATATTATGAACACCATTATGTGCAATAATTTTGTACAAGTAGAATTTTCCTTAAATAAGTCGAATCATTCAAGAAATTATAGTAACTACACAATTTGGTTCAAGAAGCAATTGTTTCCTTTCCAATACAAAAATTCATAGGAAATCTATGGTAGGATCCTCCAATCTATTGAATTATTGAGGACCACCATTGATTTAACTTTGACATATCAATGTGTATGGATCCGGAGCCTGACAACTTAGAGATGATCATCTTGTAAATTGTGATTTATCAATTATGTTACATCAATATCAAGGTACTAATGAAAGTCACTCTCAAAGAGTTAAAATTTTAACCTCATGTTTAATTATATATATATATATATATATATATATATATATAGTCATTCTATCTTTCAAGTCAAGGGCAAAACTGAAAATGGAGAAACTGTATTAATCGGGGCATGTCGAGGGAATTAACTGAATTTGCCATTTACCTGAATGTTTTAATACAATATCCTTCAAATTGTCACATTCCATTAAAAATTTAATTTTAATCGACGCTCTATGTATAATCATACCTTCCTCTAAAAGGCTAGTAATTAATGTCTTCCCTTGCCAACGGGGAACTTTGACCGTCAGGTAAAAACCAGATTTACTACAGTGGGTGCGGGTTTTGGAGAAATTAACGTTTCTCCCAACTGCAGAAATACACAAACAGGACCATATTATTTAAAACTAGGTCCATTGATCAGTAAAGGACTAATGATTATTCTAAAAGTTGCAATGAGTGATGGGAAAGCAAGCAGATGCATATTGTTAATGGAGTTTCCTAGGTGGTCCTAGATTCACATTTCGTTGAAGAGAATGATCTCAATGTTCAACAAAAGAATAAATCCCAGCTTCTGTCAAGCAAATCCAACTCATTTCCATGCTCGACTGAAATTCAGTGAAAATGAAATACAAGTGTAGACCGAATTCCTTTCCACCTGAGAATCCCATTCACAACAATGAAAACTTTTAACTCAAAGCAAACAATCACACGAAAAAAATGGCACATAAGAGCTGAGTAAAATGTGAGAACTAAAACACTAATGTCAAAATAGGAAGATGCTACAGTGACAGAAATCTAGTTGACATACAACTTGACAAACACACACAGAATAGGGGGCCCACTTTTTTTTTTTAATTTTTAATTCAGGGGGGCCCACGCACATTTGAGAGGCGGTCACCTACTCCATCACCCATTTTCCGGCACTGGGGCTTAACTTGTCAAAATACGGCAGAATTTGCCTTCTAACAGCCAGAGCCTATGCATTAAGCCATTAAATTGCAGGGAAAAGTTAGCAAAATCACATTAAGAATAGAATAATATTATTAACCAATGAGATCCAACGATTCCAACCTTTTAGTTGGCTTCTTCAATAAAAGTAAAACTATTCATCAAGGCACAAGAAAAGCCTGTGGATGATTATGTACTATACAGACTAATAGAGGTATGCAAAACTACTATAATAAAATTATTAAGTAACTGAGCTAGGAATTTGTAACTCCTATTCTGTTAATCAAATGGAATATGCCTATCCACATGAACAATTGCAATGAGTTGACCCTACTGTTTGGTTAGATTTTCATTTTCCAGACTATTTTATCAATGCCACTGTCATGAATTTTCCACAGCAGCAACTTTCGCTCGATGACCTGCAAGGGATATTGTTGACTTTTCCCTTTCTTCCTGAGGGAATTCGCGAGCTTCACTGATGGAAGCTGATCTCAAGTCAGCTGGTGGAATAAAACAATCTAGTGATAGACCAGGAACATTGAATGCAACCTCTTCAATTGTCCAAGTTTCTTCCATCCTTGTTTTCGAATGGCTCATCGCCATCTCCCCAAACCGAAAAAGCGTCACCACAGAACGCCCAGAGTGAGCAATCATGATTCCTTCAACAGGCCGGTAATCATCAAGGAAAGAACTGATAGTAGTCTCCCAGTACACTGCATCACCACCATTAGATTGGATGCGAGTAAGATGTGAATCCTCCACGTGAACAAGAAGTCCAGTCTTCTGGCTGAAATAACCAAAGAGTGCATGCCTTATAATCTCTGCTAGTCCTTCACTCCTGGCCCTCAATGTCTGAGGGTCCACAGCCAGCTTCAAAATGAAGCAATCTTCCCCATTAATCTTCTTCTCACCAATGCAAATGGCATCAGTAAAAATACTTGCAGTGGTTCTTGGATCAAGACCCTGCAAAATACAAACCCACATCTATATGAGATCAGAAGACTTGGCAAATAATAATCATTAAAAAACAAAGCAGTTACAAATAATTAAACCTTCTCCACCTGAAGAGAACGGCGCAAGGGTCTGACTGGGCCTTTTGCAGTGTGAGACCCCAGCCAGGGTGTGTGTCTCCAGACAAGCTTGCCGTTGCAGCCTGCATGAACTTTGCATCCCCCAACGGCAAGCTCCACATACCACATGTCAGGATTCATCTGCCAGAGGACAAATCCTCCGGATTCTGCAGCATTCCTGTTCTTCACTACCTTTGTTGCTGTTTCAAATTCCGAAGCTACCATTTTCAACTTGCCCATGGCATAAGCATTCTTAATAGAATTCAGGAGCTTTTGCCCTCCAGTTGCAGCAGTATACTGTTGCAGAATGTACTGTGCGGACGAAGTTTCCTATTAAATTACAAATGTTTATCAGATAAAATCTGAATCCAGTACTGAGTAGAAAATTGTAGGAAAGAAATTAGTAAAATGAGTGTTCGTTAATTAGAGCTTATTTTTCACCAAAAGTACATGGAAAGTGACAAAAATGATGAACCTAATACTAGAACTAAGCTTTGTTGCTTAACTTTCCTATAATCATCTTCCTTCCTAAAATTTTTCAGCACCGCAGAACAAATTGGACTTCATGCACACAAACTCAAAGAAGTCAACTGTTTACATCATTCTATATTATAGAAACTGAAATGCAAATATAATTTGTTATAGAGAATTTTTAAATCAAAACTTTTGCGTCTATAAAATAATTTCAATCAATTCTAACCATTACGATTCCACTAAACAAACTATACTCTGCCTACAAAAATTCTGGAATGACTTGACAATTAAGCATATGCATATATAATAAATGTTTGCACAAAATCAGGGAAACATACAATAGGAGAGTCATTGATGCTGATATGAGGCCAATGGTCAGTGGTGATAACATGCACCGGCGCAAGGGGGGCACCCATCACCCCAAGCAACAACCTTAGATCAGAGTTCTTGTTACTGTACCCATTTCCATTGGAGGCCCCTGTGGATACTGACGGATTCCGGGTTATTTGTCCGATGACCCACTGTCCGACCGACCCAACCCGTTTCGAATCCCCAACTTCCCCGCAATCCGGATCCGGACCCTCAATCAATGGTGACAGAGTCTCCCCCACTGGTTTCAGACTCCGAGATCTTAGAACCGAAGACTCAGGATTATTCTTGTTCCTCCAAAGCAGACCAGGACTCTTTGAGCGCGAGCTTGAGGGAGATAAACCCCGAACAAGACCCTCCTTTAAACCCGAAAAGAACCCTGGTTTTTTCTCCATCTTCCAACCCGAAACTCTTAAATATAACGCTTAATAACGTAGTTTTTTTTCCTAATCTCTATGATTTCATAAACTTTAAAGAGAGAAAAATAAAGGGCATAAAGGAATCGTCGTCGTTTTCTATGGGAGCACTCGATGAATATCATAAAACAAACGGTATACAGAAAATGGCAAGGCGATATATATACACAGGAGGGGTCATTGTAGGAAACATTTTCTGTTATACAGAGAGTGAAATGTAGAGTGATTTTTCGTTAGAGAAAAAAGGAGAATCTGTGTAGTGAGTAGCAGAACAGTGAGGAAAACGTTGTGAAGAAATTGTCGTTTTAGAGAGAGATACACTCAAGAGTACGACTGTGAAAATGACTTGTTCGTGCTCTGTAGCGAGTGAAGTCTGCTGATTTTTTTGCAACGAGAGGGTGAGTGTGGTTCACGCGCAGTCAATGAGCGTTTCGGCAGGAATCAGAAGGGGCATTTTTGTTGCAATTATTATAATTTCTCGGTGTAACATAAATGATATTTTTGGTGAATAAAGTTGGTCTTAATAAAAATTTGGAAAATCCACGGTAATTTATCCTAAATTTTGAGAGATGCGACATTGACTACATAAATAACCTAGTCCCTCTTCCTCTTCCTCTTCCTCGTCCACCTTATCATCTTCTTCATCCCTCATTTCTATTTACGTCTTTCCACAAATGCTCCAAAAAACATTATTAGTATCATGCCCTTCTCGTTGTCGTTTATGATCTTATGGATTTTGTTGATTTCTGTAACCCATGTCCATTTGAAACTCTCACAAAAAATGGCTTGATCAATGTGAATTCAAACTTCTCACTTTGGATTTGTCAAGACCAATTCATTCTTAGGCCTTGTTTGAGCCCCATTACTTCCTCATTAAAATGAAAAATATGATTGTTATTCATTACATTAAGTCACCTTATTTGACTTTTTATCTTTTGTGTGGAACATATAATGACTATATTTTTCATTCTCATTTTTACAATAATGTGAGTCAAACGGGAACTTAATGTCAAATATATTCCCTCCAATGACATTCCCTTCAATATTTCTTTATTGAACTATTTTTTACTGATAACAACATACTAATCACAAAATTTAAATATAATAGGAGAATTAACTAATATTACGAAGAAATCGAAAAAATTTATCTACCTTCCAGTTTAAGTAGAGCGAGGATCAAACTTTAATAGACTATGTCATGGTCGTATTTGGATATATAAGAGACATTGACAAGGAATGTAATATCTCATTTTATTTTATTTATCACCTATACTAATTTACGCGGAAATAGACATTAAAGTCAGCTGTGAAAAGCTAACAAATATCGTGTTTTAAAAAATAAAATAAAATAATATTATAATTTAATTTGGTTTACATCTATGAAAGTGGACCTAAAGTAATCTTTTCGATTTGATTGAGAATGGAAGATCTTCAGGACATTGAAAAAGAACGAACAAATAAGCTTATCTTCATTATGGACTTTAGTTAGCCAATTTTAAGAAATAATGGACTAGACATTATTTGGAGAGTGAACATGTTCCACCATTTGTTTTTTGTTGTTGTCTATAGTTATGTAAAAAATTTACCTGAGTTTTATTTTAACATTTTCTGTTGTTCGTCCCATGATAGTAGCTTTTTTTTTCTTTGTTAAGAAAATAGGATTCGAGTTAGGCATATTGAAGACTTAAATGTCATATTTTTTATTTTGTACAAAGTATAAAAGTACGAAGGGATTGTCCAAGTTTCAAGCAATTTGATCAACGTCAACAGCATGTTTGAGCCTATTCAGGTAGTCTTCTACCTATTTGACACATTTATGACGATTAAAGATACCTAATGAAAAGAGAACTGAAGCTAGCAGGGTTTCGACTTGAGTGTAAAATTGATGGTTCAAGGTCGATGATAGAATGATACAAAGAAATCAGGTCGATGATAGAATGATACAAAGAAATCAGGAAGACAACGATCATTAAAAATTCACCAATGAGAAATGCAGCTCATTCAGTTTAAAGCAATTC